TACATCGTAGCCTCAGAGAGAGACGTCACGTACGCAACTTTTGGGGTGTGTAGTCTTTCTAATTACGTATTTTCACAATCTTGCACCTCAACAGCTTTATGACAAAATGCAACTTTGTTTGATGTGCAAAATGATCTCTTACTTTGACAAACATCCTGTGTGTAATTCACGCCACAGTTCAAATGGTATCAAAACATAATTTGTCTGAATAGGAGGCACTTTACCTCTCAAATACGCTTGGTGAGGCCGTCATGTGCTGCCGGGCTTATACACTCAAAGTCTGGTTTTGTTCTGACTTCCCACTGCCAAAATCTCTGAACCTGGCAGGACGCCAAGTAGCCAAACCTCAGCCGAGTTAATTAACTGCTTGTGACTTCTGTTAAGAAGCCCGTGTTGCTTTGTAATTCAACGGCAAGCGCCTCATTTCTTATTTTTAAACCAACGAACTCATTCTTCTTCTATGATTCAGACCACAAGGAACAAACTGTTGGTGTGATCCACGAGAACAATGATACATTAACTCGTCAGTCAAATGAAAATAAAACCTTCTGCCGTCTCTGTCAGCTAGTTTGCGTCGCTCTTAATTAGAAGCAGACTTTTCGGGGCAGAGATGAGTCTACCCTGAGTAGAGTAGGTGGTGTTTCGGAGGTTAAAGGGTCACTGTGTCGTGTCACTGCAGCAACACCCGAGCAGATCATGTTCACATGAGGCGTATTTAAGTTTGTCGCTGACCAAAGAGGAGTGTTTTATGGGCTTGGACATCACACACATGTATGTATGTATGTATGTTCACACGTCCCTGTGTGCTGTCTCCTTGGCCAATATTTACTTTTGTTAATTATTTAGCAACACACGCCCACATTCCCAGCATTAGTTTGTTTGATTCACATCTTGACCCGGAGCTCTTCACACCGCCGCTCTCCCTTCATCGTGGTCGTGCATACTGTTGCCTTGCTGAAGGCTCCACATGACGGGTGACCTCGGTGGGCTGTCTGCTGCGGTGGTGGCGGCGGCGGCAGCTGACCGTTTAACGCTCTGCTGCTCACAGCTTCATTTGGCGTAGTTAGAAATGTCTTTGGACAGATCTGCATTGGGACTCTTTGGTGTTTTTTAAACTCGAGCTTTGTGAATAAAAGATGGAATAGATATGAGGATTTTTGCTGATTGTGCAGCAACTTGGGCTGATATCGTTTTGACAACTATTGTGATGGATTGTCATGAAATTGTAAATAAAGAGATGGTGTTGGTAGCTGAAGGAGTGAGCCATCTCGCTCCCTTCTCATCTGTTGAGGCTTCGCTGTACCGAACATGGCGGCGGGTAAAGACACAAGTTTCTGAGCTGAAGCGCTGATGGTTCAACTCCTGCTTTACTTCTGTTGTTCTTGTGTATGGAGTACCTTTCAACCTCGTCCTGTCACGCTCACCCAACGTATCCCACGTCTGCAGTTTTATAAATGCTTTCCATCTTAAAGCGTACATCTATTCCTGAAAGATTACGTTTCGTAAACCTTTCATACCAAAACTCACGTCTGGTTTCAGCAGAGCGTCTGCGTGGTTAGACAACCTGCGAAGGGCTGCGTCTGATGGTGACGTCACTGGTCGTGCATCGAGCATAAATCAAGCTTCATTAGTTGTTAGTAGGATACAAACGAGCCTGCAAAGGGCTGCGTCGCTTCAGGTGGACACAGACTGGAGCTGCTCGTCTCCTAATGTCTCCTAACGTCTGCTGTCCTCTTGTCTGATCCCGTCCTCTCTGCAGACGAGGCATTAATAGCCAGGAGGAGGAGGGCAGTGGAGGTGAGCTGAGCTGCAAGGACAGTGTTACTCAGACAGTAGGACAACATGGACGCACAGTAGAAAGAGACCGTCTGTCTGTCTGTGCACCACCTGCTGTGGCTTCCTTTATGTTTAATTTCATGCTCTGTCAGCCGCATTTTCTCCTTGTTTTTACTGGTGCGTGTGTGTGCGTGTGCGTGTGCGCGTGCGTATTTGGAAGCAGAAAACGCAGAGATTGGGCAAAACAAAATCGTACAACCAACATTAAACAAACGTTTCTAATTATCAGTGGTTTAACTTTGGGAGGAATTAGTTTGAGCTGAACCCAAAACATCATGACTGTTTCTTGAGTTCTTTATGGGCTGAAAGGGTCAATAGCATTTCTATTTAATGTTGTTTTTCTCATCCTTCCAAACATGCAGTTTGCTGTTTATAAACATGCAGTTTGCTGTTTATAAACATGCAGTTTGCTGTTTATAGCATTTACTAAATATCGTGTAAACAAGCTTAGAAACAGTGTCTGATTTAAATTCAGTTTGATACGTATTCTCATTAAGATCTTCTTCTTCAATCGAAGAGGTAAACATGAAACACCAAAGCATGGTGTATGTGTTGTACCTTGTCATTTGCAAGTGGCTTCATCATTTCAAGTGGTACTTGTTAAAAGAGATGTTATAATTATCATATGCATTTATATTTGGACTTGTTCGATTGCGTAACTTGGATCGTTATCACACAGATTTGCAGGATGGTTTGACTGTGAGGTATTTACACAGCGGTTGGCTGCCTTTATTAAAAGATTAACAGTGTTTGACAGTTTAATTAACAATCTTGAGCGCATTCACCCGGATTAGTGCGTAACAACGTGTACCTCAGAGTGTGAAGTAATGTGCTGAATGTTGAAGAAGTTATTGTGAACCAGTGAGATAAATCACAGACAGATGGAAGTTGCTGCACACGTTGTTGCATCGGGTTTGTTGGTACTAGCACTTCAGACCGTCGTATCACACTTTGTGATTTAGAAATGAAGACCAATACTCATCCCTGCAATCTGTGCTTCAGTAAAACACATTAGCTGTCAGTCTTCTCAATGGCAGGGCTTCCATTTCTGGTTTTTCTTGATTTCAATCAAAAGTATAATATGGTAAAGAGCCCAACAATGAAGTCCTGAAATGGCTTGTTTTGTGTCAAACAGTCAAAAACTAACTTATTCCCTTTTTTTTTTTTTTTAAATCGTCACAATTGCAACCGAAGCATGTTTGAAGTTTTTGCTTCATGAAAGGTTATTCATCAAATCAATTTATGACAAATGGGAATAAAGCCAAGCATGCTCACGTGGGCACGTTTACATTTTTCACCAGAGTGATTCTATAGAACGAAGAATAGATTCTAGAGCTCAAATGTCTGCTTGTATCTAGACTTAATTACACAAAGTTTAGTCTGATTATAAAGATCAGGACACAAATGTTTTCCTCCAATCTTTCTCAGATACATTTCTTTTGTGTGTGTGTGTGTTTAGATGATATTTCTGTGTCAGTTATCTGGCTAAATTCATCATTTAGTACCATGAGTATTTATAGAGGGAGCTTGGAGACACCGGTCCGTCTAACTTTCTCTCTTCTGTCCTTTGCTTTATTTTTTATAAGATAAGTCATCTCGTACTGCAGACTGCAACGTTTCCTCATTAAAACCTGAGTAGAAATCTTCAAGTACACCTTCATCCCTCTTGAGCTCCAACACCAACTCAAGTGACCCTCCTCTACACCCCCCAGCCTGATCCCTCTTTCCAGCTAATTACAACGTCTGTCCGAGAGCACCGGCCGTGTTTCTGAAAGTAAAGCTCTCCGATGCTCCCACTGACCGTATTTAGCAACGTCTGAGTGAAAGCAGCCATGAAAGGGAAGAAGAAAGAAATCAGCAAGCCTCTCGAGTGCAGAAGAGAACTTAATCCTCCACATTTGGTCTGTGAGCTCACTTTGTTAAAAATAGCAGAAAGAAAAGGCTGCTTTGTCCCGTGATGGATCCTTACTGGTGGTCACTCAACAACTGAAGCGTCCGGCTTCATTTCTAGGATGTCACTTTGCTTCCTTATTAATGGTGTTGGAGTGTCCACACTAGTGCTGCTACAGCTGATGATGCAGCATCAGTTTGGGCCTTTATTTTTAGATCATGACCGTTTGTTTTGTGTATTAATTCAGCCGAGCATAAAGTTATTTCTTTTATATCTATATTTGATTTAATTAAAAACTCTCTGAAGGATCTTTTATCCTGCTTCAGTTAAGTTCAAATCTCTAACGATGTATATCACGATGTAGAGCGTGTTTCCTGGTAATTCAATAAATAAATAGTTTGTATGAAATAAGCACGTGGCTCTGTATACTGTCGTGTGAATCAAGTACTTCACAAATTAAGTATTTTCTCTTCAGTGCAAAATAATCAGATTTTTGGAGGAAGTTGAGTCGGCATGTTCTTGTTGATGACATGATTGTGTAGCGTGATATCTCAGTAAATGATTTCATCACGATGCGATTTCATTGAAAGACGATAAATTATCGTTTTGAATAATCGTCATTTTAGATGAAAAATATAAAATCTGTAATGACATTTTTAAAGCATTGTAGTTTCCATCTATTTTTACTTTTATTTCTAGGTCTACAGCGATCAATCCCAGTGTTTTTATCTTAACTTTTTGTTATCTGGTGCTGACCTGTGTTTCTGTGAACTCATGGAGCTGAAACTCTGCAGCTTCTGGACGCAAAATAGATCCACGTGGAAACCTTTTTTTTAATGTGAAACAAAGAGGTGAAAGCAGCGACTCGTGCGTCTGTTGACGGTGTCTAAATCCAGATTAAAGATTCATTGACGCCAATCAGAAATTTGCCTCCCAGGCAGCAGACTGTTAACCTGTTGACACCAGGTGTAGACTTTCAGTCGCGCTCGCCCACTAATCCTCCAGCTGCTCGCTCCTTTTGTGGGCTTTTGAGGATTTTGTTGGGTTGAAATATGGAAAAATTAGAATTACTATGTTCTGCTTCCCTTAAAATATACAAGTGACCATATATTGTCTCTTCAGTCACAGCCTTCCTCTCTATTGCCACCTCCTCTTTAACTCCACTAGTCAGCTGATATTAATGAACACGTCAGCCCTGTAAGTTCAAAGGCTCTACTATTATCATTTCATGGCTGTAATGTTGAATTTTACCCCTGTTTCATAAACAGGAAATATGGACATTGAGGCCGACAGTAAATCCTACGTCTGTGTCACACTTTCAGTCCTTATCTATCAGATATTATTGAGCGTGATGAAGTCACAGACTAGAATCCCAGCCGGACTGGGAAGACACCAGTACTGAAGTCCCCCCCCCCCCAGAGGAGCTTTAGACTGGACTCTATTTGACTACATCATTAACTTGTCATTTGCATCTCACGAGCGCTCTCCGTGCACATCAATATTTCCTTATCTTAAGTGAGTATTTGAATGTGTGTGTGTGTGTGTGTGTGTGTGTCCTGACAGGAGGCCGATGGCGATGACAGGCTGGGCCTGCAAGGCGACACAGAGGGAGAATGCGACGGCGACTCCAAAGCAGACACTCCAGATGTTCCTCTCTCCACAGCGGACACCTACAACACTCCACAGTACCTGAACAAAGCTCTGGCGGGCCTGCCGCCCAGGTACACAGATACTCATTAGAGGTGGATACTAGCAGATGTTGTTTGTTCCTGGATTTTAATTCTGCTCCTCTGTTGTGTGGCGAGGTCAAGGATCTATTAACATTTAGCACTTTAACTCGTCGTGTTCAGGAAATGAAGCCAGGAGCCCCAAATAAGAGTAAATGTGTATATTCTGAGATTTAATTTGGATGCATGTGAGCCACAACACGAAGTGGAACAAGTTTAAAACCGTAAATTTCTTAGATTACAGGTGAAGTAGGTCAACATGCTCAAGCTGCATGTAGGATATGAGGTCAGATGGACTCTGAGGTCTTGTTCAGATGTGCTTCAGCCATGATTTTGTGAAGTGTTTTTTCCCTCAGTCTTTCATGAAATGACCCCGACAGAGTGAGTGATCGTCTTTCCTCCTGTGCATGTAGGGTAACTAGACCAGAAAATAGATCCTGCAGAGATGTCTGAACATGCTCATGTTAATGCGGGGGAGGGAATGTTGTTGCTCGTGACTTTTAGTGACTTGCAGCGTCATTCAGAAAAGTGTTTCTCAGCATTTGACCAGCGACTGCTGTTGGTTTTCTTTTAATTCCCTCTTTGAATTTAGTCCAAAATGACATGATTCTATGTAATCTCATCCACAGTGATTAACAGCAGTAGAGTAAGTGAGGCAAGTTACAATGATCATGTATACAAAGATAAACGGTGACAGTTAAATGATGATCGTGGTAAAACTCTCTTGTTAGATTTTAGGATGAATCAGCCGGTGAGGCCTGAGGAAGGGACACAGAAATCAGTGTCTCTCAGTTGACACACCTGCAATTCATCATTGAAACGTCGCACATTATTATATTAAAGTATGTCTTATGAACCTGAATGTCAAGTTCTGAGAAACAAAGGTGGTGTGCTGGCAACCTGTTCTGTCAAGTGTTGTTGGGACTCTGGTGACTGGTTTGTTTTCTCTGACTGTGGAACAATATATTCACATGTTGGTGTCGTTGACGGCTGGTAGTAGCTTTACTTGAAGAGAACTTGCAGTGGTTCTATTCTTTCAGGTTACGTCGACTTATAGCTGGACAAATAAGGGAAAAGAAAAAGGGTAATTTCATCGCATTGATCGTTTTGTGCCTGCAAAGAGGAAATATTGTTTTTCTCTCTTTATAACCAAAATATTTGACCCTTGTCTTTTATTTATGGAGAATAAGCTTCATTCATGGAGTTATATGGGATAAGTAGAATGAGAAAGACCTTACAATAAACACAATAAAGTAAAGTCTGGGAAGGCTTGAGTTAAAACTTTACACAAAACAAACTATTAAAATCAGTTTTCTTGTGCGCTCAGCGCCTGGAACACAAATGAACAAGAGGACGGTGTGACCAGTAAGTGACGGCCAGGTCACTGAGCTTAAAGGCTCACAAGGAAGGAAAGCGCTAATCCCGAGTGCTGCAGAGAGACATGTGGATGAACAGACTGCGGGGGGGATAGGAAGAAGAGAGGGATAACAGATGGGGAGATGTGGTAGAGGTGAGCAGCAGAGAGAATGGATGGACTTGAAGGTGAAGAGCGATGGTGTGATGATCAGAGAGCTCACCGTGCTGAGAGGAAGCAGCAGCAGCAGCAGCCTTTCTTTTTTCATGATGCAGCTGTTTCTCTTCTCCATTCACAGTGTGGCTCCTGTGCAGCTTTTTTTTTTTTTTTAGCTGTTTCCTCTTCCTTCGTTTTGCTCCCAGGCGGTCCGGCAGTACTACCAGTGCACCGGTAGTACTGGTAAAAGTATCTGTTGTAAGGGCTAGAGGTACCATTACAGGAAAGCCTCATGGCATTCAAGGATCATTTGACGTCTTTATGCAACACAGGGATGCACAACGGAGAGCAGACGAACGTAACAGTCGTACATTCCTGTGGTGCATTTTTTGAACATGCATCAGGAGGAATGTAAACAGTCTCTGGGCAGATAATATGGCCGACATCTTCACTTTCAAAACTCAACATGAGGAAAAACATCGACTGTGTTTGAGCTTCAAGCATCATTAAGCTCAGTCCACCTCCTCATATGACCAGAGTCTCTGTCCGGCAAGTGCTGCTTGATCCTGGACCACGATAGAACCAGGTCTCTATGAGGATGTGGACTCTACAGTCACTGAGTGGAATCAATACTTTTTAGTTTATTTTCCATTTAGACTAGTTTGGTTCGGCACAAATGAAATCCCTCCTCCAGTTTATCTTAAATGACTATCTATATTTTAGTGGACTTTATTTAGAATATTATACATAAATATGTTTAATTTGCGTCTTATGTTGCGCCCAGACTATGAGCCGTTTAACGAGTAAACGTGGAGTTGGACCTGAATGCAGTTGCATGCACAGACTAACTCATTTAATACACTGAATCATTTCATTCAATTTTAGGATTTTGTTCACAGATTTGTAATTATGTTCTCACTATGAACCACTGCTTTAGACTATGTGCTATAGATCCTTTAAATAGGACCCTTAGTCTTGACTCTGGTTCAAGAGAACATTCTAATGCTTGTAGCTAAAGCCTCAAGGCTAAACATCGGTCCTTTTACAGTTATAAAAGCAGCGACTGTGACTCTATGTCGTCCTCGTTCCTAACAGCCGTTGCCAAAACTGCTTCAACCACAGTCTTGATGCTTCCTCTCTTTCATCAACTGCCCCTTTAACTCCACGAGTCAGCTGATGTGAACGAGCACGTCAGCCCTGTAAATTCAAAAAGCTCTACGATTTATAATTTCATGGCTTTAATGTGGAATTTTATAACTGGAAATACAGAGATGGAGCCAGACAGTGTCGTATATTTCACTCTCTCTCTTTCTCGCTTTGATTGAAAGTGAAGTATTAATGAAACATTCATGTGATTCAACGGTTCCTTTCTCCACAGATGGAAGAACTACTGGATACGAGGGGTTCTGTCTTTGGCCATGATTTCGGGCTTCTTCATCATCATCTACATGGGACCCGTCACTCTAATATTAGTGGTGAGTGGCAGCGAGTTGATGCTGCAGCTGTTTGTGAGTAGAACATTTTGAAAGCGCTGACTCTCTCTCTCTTTGTCGTCGTGTTTCTGCTCTCGTTCCCGTCGTCTTGTCGGTAGGTCATGACCGTCCAAATCAAATGCTTCCAAGAAATCATCACCATCGGCTACAGAGTTTACCATTCCTACGAGCTGCCCTGGTTCAGGACGCTCAGCTGGTGAGGAGAGCGTTTGATTTCACAGCAGATCATCTGTAGATGGTTTACCCTTTTAAAAGGGAACTTTTTCAACCATTACAATGTTGGTAGTATATGCAAAAGAAATGTTTAACTTCCCTCCATGTTGCCAGACATCACGGGTCTTTAGCGGCTCTAGAGCTGATGTTCAAACTACCTACTGTACATGAACCAGAAGACAGTACGGAGGAATTATGAGAGTCGTGCACCGCCAGCCGGTGACGATAGCGGCGCAACAAGCCCAGTGCATTTTGGTTGTTGTAGGTTTTTCTACACAAAAGGGAAGACCACAGCACCTTTTTCTATGTTTTCATGTGGCACCAATTTCAACACAGACAGTCAAAATGATTAACTTCTTTCTGCGCGCCTTCCACGCGTCTACATTCACAACAATTGATGTGAGGGCACGAAAATACTTCTTTAAAAGAGCAAAATGTTTTTATTTCTCAAAGTAAGCTATCAAAATATTCATATCTTTGGCTCCGGCGCCGTATCAGCTCTAGTGTAAAAATAAAAGACATCCAGCCCGTCAAAGTGGACTGTTTCACCTGAAGGTGAGGTCTATATTCATCCCGAGCCGTCTTAATGGTGTAATAATATGTAAACCCCTTTTTAAAAAGCCAGAAACAGCAGAATTTCTCCTTTTTAAAGGTGCCACTTAGTCGTCTCTTCTGGCAGCCACACTCTATTAAACTCTCCTGGTCCTCCAGTGAAACGCTGACTCAGGCCAGCTTCCTCTGCAGGTATTTGCTCTGAATATGCAGCGTCCACCTTAGACCACTGTGCCGGAGTTTTTGCTCCACACACACACACACGGTATGTAAAGGCAGCGCTCGGTGCAGCCAGGAGCAAAGATCACTGTCTTGTTGGAAGCAGATGAAGCTTATTGAAACATTCTCCAAGGCCTTTCTTCATAACACACGCGCACGCACACACACGCGCGCGCGCGCGCACGCACACACACACGCAGAGAGCGGGTCAATGTACAGAGGGCATGAAACACAGGTAGACATTCAGTGACACACACATGAACACAGCAGCACAGAGTTTAGACTGAAGTTCACAACATAAACACAGAGTTCAAGCCCACACTCTTAGAACACGGAGGCTCAGTACCCGAAACCCCAACGACAAACTTTATTACTCCTTTCAACCTTGACGATCCACTCCTCCCGTTCTTACCTTTCACAATAAAAGCCCTAGACATGTACACTGCGTAACTGTTTACCAGAGGGAACTCTAAGTCTCTCGGAGCGTTTCACTTAAAAGAAAACTCAATAAGATATCTTGCAGTAGCTTAAAGGCTGTACAACAGTTTACCTCAGACAGATGCTGGTAGTTGGTCTTCTGCCTGCTCAAATCTGTTCAAACCTTTTTATTACAACGCTCACACATTTGCAACGCTGCTGGTATGGAAAGTTTTGATGCGAAATATAGTATTTTGCATTTTGGTGTGTTTTATGTGTCACACCCCGGTGTGTAAAGGCCTTTACTAATAAAAAGGAACAACGGCAAAAAGTTTTCTGAAGCAAATGTTTTCTCCCGAGCTCTTATTTCTAAGAGGGTGACAACATTTCTGTTTACGGCGGAAGAAAACGTGAAGAAAATCTTAATGCTGTCTGTTTTATTGCCTCAGGTACTTCCTGATTTGCGTCAACTACTTCTTCTACGGGGAAACTGTAGCGGATTACTTTGGGGCTCTGGTGCAGAGGGAGGAACCTCTGCAGTTCCTGGCTCGCTATCACCGCTTCATCTCCTTTGCCTTGTACCTCGCAGGTGGGTGTCTGCTTCACGACCATAAAAGAAACAGTCCCGCAGTATCTCTAACAACACAAGGTGCTCTTTGGCCCCTCTGCTTCCACTCACGGTTTCCTGTAGAGGTGGAATAGATTGCACCAGACGCGAACAACATTAGTCAGGGAGAAAATGGACCACAAAGAGAAACAAAGACCTCGGGGAGAATTACAGACTGATTTACGACGACATGAGCTCATCGGTTCTTTTTCTTTGGAACTTCTAGTTTTTCCTCCCGTCCTTCATGTCGGTACAGAATGAAAACGACAAACTTAGATAAAGGTTAAACCTGATGCAGCAGTACAATAGATTAAACAATACAACCTGTTGATACCATAAGAACAAACTAAGAAATAAGATACATTTATTAATAAATGGAATAATAACAATCGTAAAAACAAAAATTAAAAAAAAGTGATTCCTGGAGCAGGTGAAGTCGTGAAAAACCCACCAGAACAAAAGGAATCCATTGCATTGACATATTCTCACACACACACTGATGCATACTGTACAAATGTTAGCTTCTAGACTTGTGATGAAAAGAACAATGAGAGAGTCACAGATAACCGGTCGTATCGTATTCTCCAGTTAAGTCAGTGTGGTGAAGCCTTGAGGCCGGAGGTGTGTCTTAAACCACAGAACCAGCGGTTAGGAGTCATTGTAGTTCGACAGCTTTGTTGTTCAACTGTAACAATGCTCAGTGCATGTTTGGTTCATAATCGTATATGAAGTGTTTGCGTATCTGATTATTTTAACTCTCAAGTATTAATAGTTTATAAACATCCAGTGTCTCTGTAAAGTGGTTCTCATACTGTGAGGATACAAAGACACGCACTTTATAACATCCTTAAAGCTCCGGGAAACATTTCAAAGTATCTTTTTGTACAACATTAAGTTCAAACTGTCAAAGTTTGGCAACAAGAAAAGTTGAATTATTTCATATTAAAAGTTGTTACTCAGCTAACCAGCCTCTTCAGGACTGGGTGGGGTTTATGTAAATTAAATATTTGAAAAGATTTAGTGCATGAAAGACCGACAAGAAAAATCTCTATCTTTTGTGAGCCCGTCGCACAATGTATGAAGCTGACTGAGGACAAAATGTTGCTTAATGATCAAAAGTAAGGAGCAGCTCTGTGGTGGTGGGACAGTGAGGTTCCCTCTGAGTCAGATGAATAGAGGTTCTGTGTTCTCAGTGTGGTTTCTACACAGTTCTCCTTCAGTGTCGCCGACGTTCAGCCGGGCCGTCAGTTGCAGCTTTAAACCCGAGGACATTCTGATCTGAACCGCATCTTCTCTCAGTCTGTTTTTCACGGCTCCCCCGAGGTTCTCCCCAGGTTCACGCACACAAACTCTCAGCCGACAGCCTCCTCCGTGCTAATTCACGTGTCTGAAACTATCACATCTATACCGCTAAAACTGTAAAATGCTTCCAGATGTTTGTGTGAAACAGAGTAGTGAATTGTTCAGTCACAGGCATGCTGCACACACAGCGAACAGTAAAAACAATGTGATTCATATTATTATTTTAATCTGCCGTATACTTTGTTTACCTGACAGCATGTTGTCTACTCTTTCACAGGTTTCTGCATGTTTGTGCTGAGTTTAGTGAAGAAACATTACCGCCTGCAGTTTTATATGGTGTGTATCAGCCAAGTAACCCTCTCCTCTTCTTCCTCTTCCTCCTCCTCCTCCTCCTCTAAGCTTCCCGTCCATCTATTTCACCTGCTTCTTACTTCCTGAAATGTCCTTCTGAGAATATTGTTTTTAAACTCATTTGTTCTGATGTTGCCATTCATTCACTCTTCAGTTGTTTTGAAACACGCAGGTATCTGTCCACATTAATGTTTGATATGATCCTGGATATTCATTTATTTAATCTCATGCACATCGATCGACATCACTGTGAATGTACCAGCGTTAGAAACTTTACGCTCTCGGCCGGATGTTAAACTTTGCTTTTAAAACGCCAAATAAAACACAACATAAACAATCAGAACTTGAGAAACCAAAACATGCCTCGTAACAGCTGATCAGGATAAAAAGCTTTAAAGGAGTAAAGCAGCGGTTTGTAAAGTAGGCGATTAACAAAATAATGTTAAGCACGAACTAAAAGACATCTTAACATCACATTGTTGTGATTGTTACCATCAGATATTCAGTAAAAACATGCGATCAGCAGATGTGCATTAATGCTTTCTAGTCGCTGAACTCTGATGATGTTGAATTGTGAACAAGACATTAGTGTTGCAATCAACAGGATGAGAGCTAGTTCACGTTATGCCTCTTGTGTTATTTTGCTGCATGCAATTTCACAAACTCTTGTTTTGAAAGAAACTGTTTGACAAATGTTTTATTTTTTTCTCCACTCGCTGCCTGCTCTCCTCTCACCGCCACACCTTTGCGTTACCATCTGTGTCATTCTCCTCGTCTGTCGGTCTGTTCGTGTCATTTTCTTCACCGTTTCCTAACTTGTGAGCGGGCGCGGCTACATTCCAGTGCAGTGACTCTGTGGGGTGTGTGTGTGTGTTTGTGTTTTGCCATTTCAGTTTGCTTGGACCCATGTGACCCTGTTGATTGTGGTGACTCAGTCGCACCTCGTCATTCAAAACCTGTTTGAAGGGATGATCTGGTAAGCGGCACACGGACGGACCGGAGGAACGAGCTTTGCTGTCTCTGAATATTGACTCGCTGCAGGCGTGTTCGCTCCGTTTTAAGTAGTGGAACAGAAAGTGACACAAAGCTGCGACTAATATAAATACCCAACTCGCATCTACAACTGAAGCTAATTCTGTTTTAGTTCACCTTTCTAAGAGAATGATGATTTTAGTCAACGAGATTCATAATAAATCTTTTATTTTCATACATTTGTTGTTGTCTATCCACACATTTTCAAGCCAGAGACAGAATTGATCAGATTTTAATTCATGGATGGTTTCACTTCCCTCTTAACATCGTGGAAATTCCCTTTTTCCAGGTTCATTGTGCCGATCTCCATCGTCATCTGCAACGACATCATGGCCTACCTGTTTGGCTTCTTCTTCGGGAGGACTCCGCTGATCAAGGTAAATCAGATGTTCTCTGACGTCGCTCTCATTGTTTTAGATTTACATGTAGCGGCTTCGCTGCTGTCTCTTTAAGAAGTAGAGTAGAGGGAGCTTCTGTTAACGGATCTGCATCACTACAAACAACCAGTCGAGGACATTTCTCTGACGATCCTGAAAATATACAAAATAAATAGTTTTTGTTTCTTCTTCTATGGTTTGATATGTGGGGTCAGCTGTACAGAAAGAGTGAGACGACTAAATGGAGAAATGAGTAGAACCGGTGAACTCGTTTGTGTTGATGTGGTTCTGCATCAGACCAGGAAGTGAGACTAGCTCTCAGGGCAGATCCAGAACACACAGTTTATAGTTTATACAGTCTATCCTCCCTGTTCTTCTGCACGATGGAGCCGGAATGATGATCACTGCTTTCACTTCCCTGCTGTGCTACATTCCTACTAATTAAATTAAATTAAATTAAATTAATTTGCATCAAATAGAGCATCTCCTCGATACCAAATATAAGTCTTACAGAACGTTGTATCCTAAATTAAATGTGCTGAAGTCCTGCTTATTAACAAATCTTTGCATCAAGATGAGACTTGAATAAGGTTTTTCCTTCTCCTACATTCACTGCCTGGATAATATACAGGCATAATATACTTTGTTTACACCGGACTGCAGCTGCAACATCTCTTTTAAACAGGCTGTCGGTGCAGCAACACGACCGCTCCCCTGATACTCGAGGAAGCGCTTGATTTGATACGCAGCAGAGTTTTCTGTGAGCAGAGCACAACAATGTTGATATCTCGGTCAATCATGTTTTATTTAATTGTAAGAAGCCCAGATCGTGACTGCGATCAATATTGTATTACTAGTGCAGCTCTTCCTTCCAGTGAGTCTGGATCTCCCCTCAGGAGGAGCTGGACGTTGGAGTAGATATCTGGGCGGCCGCCTCATGACACGGATCCAAATAAGGTTCAGAAAAACAAATGGAGGCTTAGCGCTCGTCAACCGCTTCAGTCAGACAAACCTGCGAATACAGAACTCTTCTGTCAGATTGACTGAATCTAATATGGTTCTACTCTCTGAAGTGTTTTATTGATGATGGTGTACACACAAGAGCTATTCAGTAGAGGGAGAAAAAAGAGGTTTATTTTATATCGCATGTATTTCGTGGTGAGGCTGATGTCATGATGATGTGAAAGACGGCCTCTGTTTCTGTCTCTAACCCCCCCCCCCCTCCCTCTTCAGCTCTCACCCAAGAAGACGTGGGAGGGCTTCATTGGAGGTTTCTTCGCCACGGTGGTCTTTGGCTTCATCGTGAGTACACTTTGTCTGCTTTTACGACTCACTCGCGTGGTTTTCCCCGAAAACAGAATGAGATGTTTTCTGCGTAACTTCTGCCAAAAGTTCACGAGTTGTTTGTGTTGTGACTGTCACATGGCCTCGAGTTTCTGTTCCAACAAAGAATGTTTATTTAGGATTTAATCACAATGCAGCATCTCCACATTTACTGTCAATATTCAATGTTTATTAGCGTTTAAATTCGTACACGTATGTTGGACGGGATCGACTTCGGTGCTTAAATGTTGTTGTTTTTGTTGGACCCGTCAGCTGGCCTACCTCCTGTCTCAGTTCCAGTACTTTGTGTGTCCCGTGGGCTTAAACAGTGAGACCAACGGGTTCACAGTTGAATGCGAGCCGTCGGATATGTTCGTGATGCAGGAGTACACGCTTCCTGCTGTGGTGCAGAACATAGTGACATGGGTAAGACTTTTAATTCCTTTTTAATTAAAGAAAATAACTAAAACCATTTGAAATACAATAGCTGTTCTGAATATAATATCTAAGAGTTTGTCATGCCATTTAAGGGATAGTTCAGATGTTTTGAGGTGTGGTTGTGTGAGGTTCTTCTCCATCATCAGTGTTTTACGACAGTAGACGGAGTTTGGAGAACCAGCATCATCATATCTGGAAGTGAAACGAGTCTTTTTCCTGTTCAACCAAATCCCGTTCGTTACTGTTTTTCCTCGTCTCTGTTAGAAAACGGTGACGATGTGCCCCTTCCAGATCCACAGCATCTTCCTCTCGTCCTTCGGGTCTCTCATCGGGCCTTTCGGCGGCTTCTTTGCCAGCGGCTTCAAGCGAGCCTTCAAAATCAAAGTAAAGAGCAGAACTCTTCTCCTCTCTTTTGAGAAGAGTGTTTCAGTCTTGTTTTCCTGTCATGTTATTGTTTGAGCCTCTCCCAGGTACAGATTTCACTTAAATCAGTTTTTCAGCCAGTCGCTGTTTGTGCAGTCACATCTCCACCTAGGGACGAGTCGGACAGGTGCTCTCAGCATTGACACAAGCAGGGAAGACGATAATGAGATTAAATCGTACTCCGATAACGCACGTAGACGCGTAACACCTCGGCGCGGGCCCGAGTTCTGGTGTAACGACGCTCTGGTCTCTGCTCCTCCTGCAGGACTTTGCCGACACCATCCCCGGCCACGGCGGCATCATGGATCGCTTCGACTGTCAGTACCTGATGGCCACCTTCACGCATGTCTACATAGCCAGCTTCATCAGGTAAGAGGAGGGCCGGCAGCTCAGAGAGGCGGCGGAGAGTGAAATCTAAAAGAAATGTGGTATCGGGTTCCCTCACAGTCATTTCAAATAGAAATGCGCCAATGGAAATTTTCTGTGTCTCATGTGATTGTTGTGTTGCAGAGGACCGAACCCCAGCAAGGTGCTGCAGCAGCTGTTGATGCTTCAGCCTGAACAGCAGCTCGGCATTTTCCACACTCTGCACTCCCACCTGAGAGCGAGGGGCATGCTCCCCCCCGCTGCTGCCCCGGCTGAATGAAAAAGGCCGCCTGGCTTCACGGGGCTGGCGTGTGCGTGTGTGTGCGTGTGCGTGTGCGTGCGTGTGTGTGTGTGTGTGTGTAAGCATGTACACACACACACGCACTCTCTTAAAGTATGGCGTGTGATCTCAGAAGCGTCGGCTCCAACCAGTTCATGACGACTTTGGACCTGAGGTGAGTCTCCAGACTACGTGGAATAACTTCGTAGTAACCAAAAAAAAAAAAAGAAACACAATACCGACAACAACATCAAAACATGGCGGCTTCGCTGCTTTCCACTTGGACCGGCACTGATAACGAATAAACTACAACGGGCCGTCCCCATCCTAAGAGAACAGACTGAAGATGAAATCTGTTATCGGACTCTGAAGGACACGGCTTCTCTCGGGCGCAGGTGGATGCTGGATGTTTCCTTTTTGTGGACGGCAAAAACATTGCACTGACTTTAGCTGAACAGACGGTTTTTAAAGCAGCTTTTACCAGCATTGGGCACGTGGACCTGAGCTACCGCTAACAAGACTGTTGAGATTTGTCTCTCTGGGGCGAAGCAATGATGCAGCAGGGTTGTCAGAATACTGTAGACTACTGTTTTATATACTATGCTCTATTTAATGGTCCTAACCTCACTGCATACAAAAAACAAAACATGTAGCATGTACGCAAATCCTGTGTCGGGCTTCTGCTGAACAAAGCCATGTTTCTTCTCTTCTTCCACAGCGTGAGACGTTTAGCTTTTAGGTTTCTGTCTGAATCTAAAATAACTCGCACAAGTAAAGTCAATACAGGTTGACTGTAGGCATGTTAACGCAGAAACTAGAGCATCAGCACTCGAGTTCATGTACTGTACATAAATATACTGAAGATATTTAGCTGAACGAATACCTAACGCATAATATAAGTACTTGTGTGACCTGCTGGGGGGGGGGGAAAAAAACACTTTAAAGCTATGAGAAATGATATGCAAAAATAGAGATGTAACTCATGTGTAGTTTGCCTTTTAGCATGAACACTTTAGCTTGGTATGAGGCAGGGATGTAGACCTGAGGTCGCTGCTGATTTAGAGGGTGTGCTGGGTGAACTCAAAGGAATACTTTGACATTTGGAAAATCTGATTATTCATGCCGAGAATCGGTTCAGAGGATCGATACCGACCGGTGCCGGGAGGACGAGCGTAACGATTTAGAGTCTCAAACGCCTACAAAACACTAGTTGACGGTTCTATATCGTAGCTAACATAAATAATCACTATTTTAGTTTATTAGCTTTATCTTAATTAGTTTATGTGGGGTCAAGCTTTATCTGACTTGCACTTTTTGTGTGAAAGCTAAAATTGCGTAAAATAACATTTGTTTTAAGTCACAGTTAAAGATTAAAGTTGTTAATATTCTCTGAGATTAAAGTAGTAAATTTACAAACAAATGTACGATATTATTAAATAATAAGATATTATTTAGTTCATAAAGTCATTTATTCTCTGATTATGAAGTCGTAAATCGAGGAAAACATTTTATTAAAGTAATATTCTTTTCAGTTTTTCTCCGAATATAACACCTCGTCCCAAACTCATTCATGTATTTATGGTTGTAGCTACGATAACGCTAACACGCCGTCGTGGAAAGCAGTTGTTCTTCTAGAGAAGTCCTCCACCAAAGAAAATCTTTGTTTCTTGTTTCTTAATGTGAGTTAATGAGTTTCTCCACTGAAATCATTGTGCAGAAGCACCACTTTAAATCTTGTGTTCTCCAGAGAAGTGTTCAAACGTTTCTTGGTTAAAATTAATTTAGCATAAAAAACGACTTGTCGACTAAAAGGGTGCAGCGCTAGTTTTTACATTTGTTTGTATACGGATGAAACAAACGAGATGTGTTAAAGCGCTTTAGAGGCGTAACTTTGATATAAGGGAAGTAAAGCCCCCCCCCCCCCCCGCTTCCACTCTTCATGCTAAGCTATGCTAACGGACGGCTAGCTCTGGAACCCGTACACAACGTACAAACGTGAGCGTGATTTTGATCTTCTCAAACTCTCGGACAAAGAAACACATTTCCCAAAATGGTGAACTATTCCTTTGAAACTAAATAAAAGACTGTGCTTCCTTTAATCAATTAAACCAATGATTTAATTTGCACTGTAGCAGTTAGGTGGAGGGGGGGGGGGGGGTGCATCAAACCACTCCGAAGGTTCCCACAGCCTCGGACTCGATGTTTGTGAAACTGTTTCAAAAAAGAGAAATCTTGCTATTTTAAAGTCTTCTTATGCGTTAAATCACTGTTAAATTATTCTGGTTTGAATGTAGTTTGCTATATGAGATGTTATCAACGATAACGTGAGACCGGAGTACGTTTTTATGATGGATCACGTGACCGCCGCTCGTGTGACGAAGAAGATGCATTATGAGCGTGTTACGAGGTCGTTTACCAAAGCTCTGTCTGATCAACACCGACTTCCTTCTGTTATTGGAAAAGAAAAACGGCTCCAGGGCCCAGATTCAAAACGCCGTGTCCTTCAGACACCCCCTCTGTTTCTGAAAGATGAAACAGAGGGGGGGGGGGGGTGGTAGATCTGGACGAAGACGATGTCATAATTTATTTATCTGTTCTGTTCATGTTTTCCTCGTAGACGTATATTTTTAGGGTGGATTTCTGGGACCAGCTGTATTGTACTGTATGACTCTAGGACACACACACACACACACACACACACACACACACTACGTAGACACCAGGACAGAATTCACAGTGAAGAAATCTGACAAACTCGACACAAACGGCAGATGAACAAATGATGCATCTACATATATATTTATAAGTTTTACATGGAGTCTAAAGTGTGCCACTGGAATAATTCAACTCAGTTAATGAAATAATTAAAACACTATGAAGAGCTTTAAAAAGTTTAGATTTGAAACATGGAAACTACTAAAAGTTAGAAAATAATAATAATTTTACTATTTAACTTATTTTGTTCTGCTTTTATTCTTTAGTTTTCATTTAATGAACACTTGCATTTTGATTTAAGTGAAATGATTTTTCTTAACACGAGAGTTTTGATGTATAAATGACTCAATTCATTTTTATTAAAATATTTGATCAATCAGCTAATCGGTTACTTAATCGACTTATTGTTGCAGCTCTAGTTAGATACACATGCAAACAAAAGTACAATTTGAAGTAGTTTGTAAATGCGTCTAAATGTATTTTTTCTAAAGATGGTATTGATAAATTGTTCATAATACGTATTAGTATTCATAATTATTAAGATGAAGTGTATTATTTCATTGGTGCGCTGGAGACTCCACAGATTTCCAGTAATAGTTCAAATGAGATCAAAGTTGTTTTGGACTAATTTATATTTTTACTCAAACGTCAACGTAGGAAATAAAACGGTAGTTTCAGATGTTTGGTCATTTTAATTTATCATTCTGTGTTTTGATTTGAGCAGAAATGTTTTCTAATGACGATCGATTAGCTTTTGGAGTGAATAAGAACGATACTGAGGAATTATTTTGTTATTAAAGGAGCAATACAAAGTCATGTACAAACCACGTATTGATATCTTGTTAGGGAGATTGTAAAGCTGTTTACTGTACGGAGGTGAATAAAGTTTCTTTTCTTTAAAATCTTGTACATTTTGTTCACTACGGTTCCTAATAAGACGGAGAATTCACTTTCACATTGAAGGAACAGATTTATTCACAAAACAAAGCTCAACAGTTTTTGATTTGACATTTAAAACCAGATTGTGCACAACGTGAACGAGCAAACGCAGCGTTACAGAACAGACGTGAATATTCAGAGACTCTTCTGGCCTCAACACGAGTGAGTTATATCTGGTGAGAATGTCAGACAAAAAGTTTACTTTTCTTTCACATTCAAATCAACCAATGCTGCTTGCAGATCATTAGATACAAATAATAAAAAAATAAAAACAGACAAACTTACTTCTAAATGAAGCTGCGGTCAATTCATCCTCAACAGAATAAAGAAATGTGACAATACGACGTCTTAAAAGTAACGATTCCAGTCTTTTGTTGTTTAGTCACGAGTCGATATTCTCAGTCACCCGACAGGTTTCCATTAAAGTGCGTCTCAGATTTGGGTATCAAACACACAGACATACATCACATCGTCATCAGAGACGAAGGTCTCTTCAGGACAGTTTAACAGAAACAGTGACCTCTTCTGGAGAAATAGACTTCACATGATATCACAAACCTCAACATAAAAATAAGAAAACATTGATTCATTCCGTTCTTAACATCCTGTAATAACATTAAGTTGACGTTACTTTTGAAAGACAGAAATCATCATCACTGAACCTTAAAATCAACAGCAGCCATGCACAGTCAGCATTTTTCTACTTTTAAACAGACGGTTTTCGGGGTCATTTAAGTGCACAGTCGTCCAATAAAAGATAACCGCAGGAATAGAAATATAAACATTGTGACATAACTAAAAAAGGTGACATTACATACATATCTACGGAAGCCCTGAGAGGCAAGTGTGGAAAATCCATTTTCTAATTCTGATCTGAATAGTTGTCTCTCCTGTGGTTATGACTGAATAACAGGTGTTAAGTTCCTTAAATCATTTATTTTTCCTTCAGTGAAACAGGTGCTCGGGTGATTTGTTGTTGTAATACTCATTTTGGCCACAAGAGGGTGAAAGGCGCCACTAACCCGTGTTCTAAATGAGACTAAAAGCATTCACGTTTTATTCCAGGTGAGTTTAAGGTGAATTAATTGTGTTAAGTTATGCGTCGTAAGCTCGAGTTGTGGTCGAAATGATAATTACAATAATAAACATTTCTTTCTACCTGTTTCACAGATAAAAACAAGACATGTAGACTATGTAGAAACTGGATCACCACGTTCTCCTTCCTCTTGCCTCTCGGGGTAATCTGAAGGACCTTTCTGAATCAGACTATTTTAAAACAGTGCAATTTTCCATTTTATGGCCGTACCCGTTCTGTTAATGTTTAAAGTGCATACGCTACAGACGTGAACCCTGTCAGTCGCTAACTGGCCAACTCCAACGTTTTATATTGGCGCTAAAGTCTGAAAGGAGACAAACTTGAGACGTGTAAACTTTTCCTTGTCAACACAAAGTATTTAAATACTTTGTGTATTGACTCTAAAGGTATTTCTTTTTCTGCAACATGTCTGAACATCTAAAATTAAAAGGCAGAATTAAAACCAAACCAGTTGGACGGACCGTTCATCGGCACACTTTAAATTAACTATAATTATAAGAAGCCTGTTTTTCCTGTTTATACAAACTGCCGACTTAAAGCTGAAAACAGAAAATAGTTCAAATATTTGACTCTTTGTGAGCTTTAAAATTAAAAGTGGGATATTTGTTGGTTATTTCAAAGCTTTGAGTGCCTGAAGATGATTGTTTGCTCATCAAAACTAGCATTAGCATATTCTTCAAGTTATTGTTTATAAGAGTAAATGAATGGATAGACTTTGGGCTGTCGGTGTCCTGCTGTCTCTACTCTACTTCCCAAACTCCGCCCTCAACGTGTGAAGTCTTGCCAATCCTATTTTCACTGATTCCTTCCTTTGGCTCTGTCCTGAGGCCAGCAACGCCTCACCGCTCCATCAGTTAGCGTGATATTTTCTGTGGCCACTCCCCCTTCAAGCTAGCTAGGTGACTAAAGCGCTGAACGGCACTCTCGTCTCGTCATCTTCCTCCACTACGACGCCCCTCTGGTCGGGCCTGTCAGGACAGAAGATTAGCCGAAGCGAAGCTCGCCCGACGCGCACCAACAGCCTCAACACAATAAAAGCAAACGGCACAGTAATCTCCATCAGGTGGAAAATCGCGGCGCTGAATTTACTCAAAATGCACGTCAGGAAAAACGTCCCCAGAGCCACGCAGGGGTACAGGGAGAGCTTGGCCAGCATGAATATGTGCTCGCGTCCGCCGTATCGCACGTAGGGGTGCAGAGTTTCCCGTTCGTTGTAAAGAGCCACCACCCAGATGGTGAGCTGAAAGATTCCGGCGAAGAAAATGATCACGCAGCTGATCTGAATGGCTTCCAGTTCGTTGCGAGAGTCGGCCGGGAATTCGTGCGTCAGCTGGTAGGCTAGAGGCAGACCTCCGACAAACGCCAGGGAGAAGGTGTTCAGCAGGCCCATGAAGCGCGTCGTCTTGGTCACGTGGAGGAAGAGCGAGTGGTGCACGAACCAGAGAAGGCCGACGGTGGCGAAGGAACCGAAGTAGGCGAGGTACTCCGGGCCGTAGACCCGCAGGGCCGCTATCAGGCTCCCGCCGAACTGCTTCTGCACGACGGTCGGGTCTGGAACGTTGTCCTCGCTGACGGGAAGGAACCAGAGAGGATTAACGTTGAAAGCACACTTTTCTCACACCATTAACTTAATCCATAGTTTTATGTTGGCGGCAATTGAGCAAAATCTTTTACAAATGTTCGGTAGTCGGGTGTTTTGACCTTCTGACTATTTCGTAGCAGCTATGAAGATGTCACTAAAATGAGGGCCTAGCCATAAAGTTGGGTAGCTTCACTTAAAGGCACTATGAGTAAGATGTTGTCAGCTGCCGTTTGTAAACACAACTTTCAAAGTTGGGCCCTCAACGAGGTGAAAGCCAACCTCGGATTCACTCTGCATATGAAGCCCAAGATGTTCCTCATAAAGCAAAATGATGGTTGCGTTACATCGTGGGATCTCCTGCATAGCTTTGTGTTCTTAATCCTTGCCTGCTTGTGTCCCATGTCTACCCATTCAAGGAAATAGAGTTAAAAACACACCATATGTCCAGGATGAGAAGCGTTGCTACGATGGCGTAAACTCCATCGCTGAAAGCCTCCACTCGGTCCTTGCTGAGGGGCTCGTTGGGCAGGTAGGTGTAAAACAACATGGAGTCTGGACTCTCCGGCACCTGACCTGAAATGGACAAGATCTGGTTTATGTTTCAAAAATGTGATGCACATGCAGGCGGCAACCTCCACTTCTGAAGAGTGAAGCCGAAGTGTCTTAAACTTGCATTCTCTCTAGTGTCCACCAGGGGGCGACTCCTCTGGTTGTATAGAAGTCTATGAGAAAATGACTCTACTTCTCTCTTGATTTATTACCTCAGTAAACATTGTAAACATGAGTTTATGGTCTCAATCTCTAGTTTCAAGTCTTCTTCAATACAGCATGATGTTCATTTAGTAACTTATGGTCCATTTAGAGTCAAACAGACCATAAAGCAGGGGATGCTTTAGGGCGGGGCTTACTGTGATTAACAGGTCTCTACCAGAGACGTATACGGTGTCTCTAATTCACGTTTCCCATAGATGTCAATGTTAAACATGGTTCTTACCAATTGCTTTGCTGCGGCACCACTTCAAAGACTGGGAGATGTACGGCAGGAAGATGACGACCGCCAGCAGCACGTAAGACTGAGAGACAAATGAAAACATCACTAGATGAAGAGATTCACATCGTCGTAAATGTAATGTCTCTGTTTTAGACAAAGCAGCAGCTCCTGACTGGGAATAGTGATGCATTTATCAAAACTTTAATTTATAGATTTTAATCATTAATCAAAGAACTTAAGTTCGAGCCGTACCGAATGTCATAATCATCTTTAATAAAGTCCTAAAACGTATAACAAGATGAAGAGACGCCACAAAGCAGATGATCTCAAACCGTCCAATCATCTACTGATGTTAAAAAGTTAAATGTAGCATCTTTAAACTGTTAACTAGAATTGCCGCATGTCTCCAACAACCAGTTTACATTCAAGGCTTTCATTCATAATTAGCATATATATTCGTGAGTTATGTTTAGGGAGATCTCATTGATCTTTGACCACCAAAGTCTGATCAGTTCATCGTTGAATTTAAACAAAATTCCCTCTCTGCCACCTACCAGCTGGAAGAAGATGAAGGAGAAGATGCTGGCGAAGAAGCACATGAGGGGAACCCGCATGATGACTTTGAGGATGTGGTGTTTGTAGAAGTTCTGGTTCTCTGAGATCTGGATCTGCTCGTTCAGCAGGAAGGGACGGCTGAAGGCGTACAACACGATCACCGACTACGGAAACAAGGTGTGTAGGATTGTGATTAGTTCTAATAGATAAAAACGGCAACAATAAAACGCTTTATAAAAGTATAAAACGCTTTAACTGGCTCACCTGGATGACGCCCATCACCATCACACAGCCACAAAACAGTAAAAGCCCGAGGATGTTCTCGGGGAAGGCCGCCATCAGAGAGAACTGCAGAGAGAAGAGAGCGTGAATGACGTCGGTCAGCTGAACATTTGTTCATGTGAACGGTGTCCGCCGGGCATCAAACTCACCGTGTACGGCAGAAAGGTGATCAGCATCATGCAGGCCTGAAGGAGAAGCGGAAGCAGAGAAAGAAGTCACGTTAGAAAGACGGAAACGTGCTCAAAGTTTAAGTGAAATACTTAAAGTTCGAGCTGTACCGAGTGTCGTTTCTTTACAAAGCTTCTATTGAGGTTTTAAATGTCTTGTTATATTTCATGACATTATCAATACAAACAAACGGGAAAATAATTGATTTTTTTTTTCCATTTTTGGGTACATAAATGTTTGCTGATGAACCGCCCCTTTAATACAGGCTGTGTGTAGAAAGCGGGAGAGCAAAAACATGTTGAACTGCAGTGAAAGCTTTGTTTTTAAAAAGACTAAACGGCCGAAAAAATATGGCTTGAAGCTGAATGTTTCCTTAGATTAAAAAATGTGAATTTTGGAAATGATTACATGTATCTTATCAATAAAAGTTGACTTTTTTACTTTAAAATGCTCTGAAGTTATTGGAAATGTTTTGATCACGAGTCAGAAACAATCCTACGCAGCTACCGCTGTAATATGATTAAATAAATAGATATATTACTGATAATATTACTGTAGCCTGATCTTTATAACTATATTAGAAATATGGGAGTTGAACAGAATGAATAGACAAGAAGCTGTGTAGCATTTAAAAGTTGATTTATAATTTGAATGTCAACGTTCAGGGAGAAGGAAATGGGCAAGATTATGAGTATTTTATTGAGTATATATTCTGATGTAATTGTGTAAGAAATCAGTTACCAATTTATGCAACACATTCTATATGTGTGAGCTCATGAGCAGATCTCTTTGTACATTAAAGCAGCTGGAAGTTAGATTCTAAACTAATTGGCTAATCAAAGCTAACGAACAACAAGCTAATTAAATGATGTAAATCAGGACAATAAATTAACTTTACAGTACGTAGACATAAAATACAACCAACTAGTGCTGGATGTCATTATTACAGTCTCAACACTTGTGGAATACTTTCTTTAATCCTCTTTAATGAAATATCCACGATGTCCTGTTGTGATACTTACGAGGTTCAGCAGTGCGAGGCAATCGTCTATACGGACAATAACTTGAAATAACCTGTGAAGTTCAACACAAAGAAGCACGTGATTAATTATAAACCTTAAAATCTGCTGTACCACCACCACCACTAATAATAATAATAATAACTCGCCTGATATGAGCAGCCCATGCAACAGTCACAATCAGGAACGTCATCAAGTAAACAGCGATCTTAGTTGTGAGCAGAAGCTGAACACTCTCCCTCAACTCCTGCAGGGCACAAACACGTTTATAACATGTCGCCTGTTGTTATTGTTGTTATTATTATTATTATCGTATCAGAACATTTATTATAGTCCTCATAAGCTTTACAGGAATAAAATGACATCTTCTATTACTACTGTCAGACTTTACCTCATTATTTTCCATCTTCGTATGGGCAACAGGTAAAATCTGTGAATAAAGGAAATATCAAACGTTCAGAGGGAGACACATAATATTAAACATCTGGAGAAACAATCTGAGTTCACACTGACCGGTAAGCCTGTTCTCTGTTTGTTAAAGGGACAGTTCACCCAAAAATCTAAAAACTCATATATTTCTTCTTACCTTTTATTGCTATTTATCAATCTATCAACGTAGAGATGTCTGCCTCCTCTCTAATATTAAGGGACTATAGTCTCTTTCCAGGAGTTAAGACTTATTATGGTTATTGGAGATAAGTATTATCAGACCTTAACACAAGCTGGTGGTTCAATATTAAGTGCTGATTGGCTGCTAAAATTCAAAGTCTCTTGATTCCTGCTAGTTAACCAACAACATATTAATGGCATGTCGTTTAAATGCAGTACAAAGTATATTTTTAAGTAGTAGTAAAATTAAAATAGTGCTAGGGTCAATGCACTGTTTGTTTCCACACTACTTCTGCAAGATATTTACTAAACTCATGGAATAATAATAATGTTATTGATCCCTGATACTCGTTCCCACCACCAC